TACACTCAATTTCTGTCTCACAAACTGACTTTAGAATGTAATCCCAGCTAAAATGGCACATGGTGCTATACATATCAAACGGAATGTCTGGATATGACATTTCACTTTAAGCAAGTGAAAATAAAACAGCAAAGCTTCCTCACATACTAAGAGAGATATTAGAACAGAACATGCCAAAGACAGATAAAGAATCCAGTCTCTAAGAAATAATAACCCAAGAATAAAAAATAAATAAAATTAATAAGAATATGAAAGCAATGAAGCAAGAAAAAAGTTAGATGATAAAACAATGAAATGAAAAAAGAACGAATGTTAAGTAAACAAACTGAAAACCATACAACACCCTTTTAGAATTAAATAAATCAGATATTTATTTATTAATAAATACCTAACACTATTTCCACTGTTGTAAATGGAAAGTATTTAAACATAGTATCTTATTTAGTCCTCACAACAGATCTGTAAAATAGAGGTACTATTATTGTTCTCATTCTGCACAGCAGGAAACAGAGGCATAAAGTTAATTTGCCCAAGGTCACATAGCTGATGAAAAACAGAATGGACACACCAGAAACCTGAATTTTTGACACAGTTAAAGAGCATAAGAAAACCACAATGAATGAGAAGAAATAGATGTGGAGGACAAAGGTGATTCGATAAAAGGGCAGTTATTGTTTTAAACGTAGAAAGCCCAGCAAATATAAAAATACATTTAAAGATATAATAGAAATGTTCCTTGAAATGAAAAAGAACTGCACCTGCAAATCAAAATAGCATACTGTATTCCAGGAAGGACTAATGGAGAATGATCAACACTGAAATATATTCTGATAGTTATTGACTTAAATCATTTCAAACATGCAAGTCATGTAAAAAGGGGAAAAACAGGTCTGTCATAAGGTGGGGGGCAGGAGGTGGGAGGAAGTACAAATAATGTCCTCACTCGTCACAGCAAGGAGCCAACAAACAGTATCTAAAACTGAAATATGCAATTTAAAACAAATACTGATTCCAACCTCAAAGTGTTTTTCAAAATTTTCTCCCTCAGTCTTAGAGAGATCTCAGGAAATAAAATACCTTGGAGGGAAGAAACATTTACAATAATTTAGCAATGCCTTCAGTTTAACTTCCTTCTATCAATCTCTCTCCCTCCCTTTCCAGTTTGTCGCTGCCTCTCAGCCATACTCAATAAAGAGATGTCTGGAATATTATTCACTGAATGTTTAAATGGGTAATTTCTGGGCTTCTGGTTTGAACATCCTTCTTTTGTATACTGCCATAATTCTTTGGAATGCACATTAATAGATAAAGCCAATTATTTTTTCAAAAAAGAAAAGGAGAATGTGATTTTCATTCTTTCAGTTTTTTACAATATATATCCTGAGTGACCTGCCTAACAGTGTATTTTTGAGTGACCTTCCTAATAACCCCTATTAAACAAAAAAAA